TATTTATCCTGAAAATTTTACTTTGAACATGATTTTATATTATATAATAGTCGTGTATTATGCTGCCTATAATAATAACTGTTATTACTATCTATCAAACGTCTCACTATGATTTTTGAGAAACCTTTTTGAATTTAATAAGGGAGCTTTGAAATACTTATGAATTAGTCGGAAATATCTCGAGCTGTTTATATATAAACACGTTTACCGCGGATGCGATCACGGTTCACGGGCCAATTTAGCAACCTATTTCGGCAGTATTAATTTTCAGTACCGATAATGCTCGCGCAACTGGAATATTTTCTGAGAATTAGTGGAGGAGCAAATAGCAAAAATAATCGCGAAACATCCTCGTCATCGTCGGCATCGTCGTCTACTAAGCAGCATTTAGAATCCCTCCGTGGAGAGAGAGAGAGATGATCGTCGATCTATTTACGCGTTTCTGGACGTCTCGGAATTTTGGACGGCGAAATTAAGCGGCGGTATCGTCGTGCAAATTAAATTCCTAGGCGCGTCGACCGGCCGTAGCCAGTCTTCTACCCGCGGCCGAAGTAGTATAATTCGTCGTGCTTATCGATTGTCGTCGATTCCGAACCGGAATTCCTCGTTTCTCCAAGGAGGAAGTTTTGTTGTTGATTCAAAGCGATATACATCTATCGAATTAATAATCAACAATATCTGTCAAACTATTTTATTCGCGCAACAGTAGTACCGGGTTGCTTCGGCGATACAATATTGTTGATTCGCACCAGACAGCGATAATTCAGTTTAAGAGAGTAGCAAGCAGGAGAATCTCATACTTATTTCTTATATTTTTTAAATCTCGCTATAATTGTCGTATAACGTGATAATATATTATACCCATTTTTAACAGGTCTAGAACATTTTGTATAATCGGACCAGTCTGCGGCGGCGGATCTTCGTCATCGACCGAAGTTCGCGTTTCTTCCTTCCTGGCGCCATGCAGCGGGGCTTTATCGCAGTGGTGAGTAATTCATCGAATCTGCTTAAGTTTCCCGTTCATTTCTCGCAATCGGCTTTCAGCGTCAGCTGCACAATTCCGTAGAAATTTCGCATGTATTCGCGTAACGTTGCGAAGCAACTTGTATCTAGACTTTAACGAATCTTTACGCGCGTACATCGTTTTATTCGATCCACCGTTTATTACTAATTATAGAAAAGTTTATGGCATTGAAACGTCGCCGTATCATAAATAAAATATTCAGCGTATAAATTCGTTAAGTGTAAAGTGTAACCTATATAAGAAAGTTAAATAGTAACCTTTTCACATTTGTTATTCGGATTCGTTTTTTTGAAGATGTTAGGTGGATGTTGTGCGAAAGATATCGGTACTTTGATAATATATAGATTTGAATCTTTTGCGCAACGTATATATATTGTTAGTATAGGCTATATATACTTACATTATTAATACAAATATCTTTTTAACTGCAGATATTTGTTGTCAATCTTTTTTAACATATTTATGTTTAATTTATATTAATTGCTAATTTTATTATTATAATTGTGCAACAAATTACATTCACATTGATACAAAGTTTTACGTTGCAATTAAACGTAGAATAGAATTGTGTTATCCGTTTACGTGCTTACACGAAGCTTAATTTATTGTTATATGCTTCTGTAGCTTAAGGCATTGAAACATTGATGTAACGCAGTGCAATGTGGTGGGTAGGTAGAGTTCGGGTTGTCAGATGATGAAGCTTTTCGAATCTTTATGCCATTTCTTCGCTATTTTTGAGAAAACTTATCGACTTATTGAAATTGTCATTATTATTATCGATCATAGACTGAATTTACGATTCTTGTGGTAAAGTCTCGCTTTTATCAGAGACACCCTGTGTGATTTTCCTTCCTAACACTTACGACATGGGAGATGCTTATACATTCCCCATGGGGATAGCACGGGACGAACGAAAACATTTCCCCCATCCGTGGGCGACCGTGACGATTCGATTTTCAAAAGCCCGTCACGTAAGACGAGAACCAGACGAAGTTAGGCAACAAGTGGAAGATAGGTCCGACGGGAAAAAGAGGCAGGCAGGCCCTCGCGACCCTCGTTGAAGTTTTTCCTCTCTCCCGTCATCTTTTGTTACGTTCTATAGCAAGTTGGAGGCAACCCCCAACAACGGCGAGGTCGTTGATGCTTCTTCCTCGCGATGCTTTCCTCCACGTCATTTTACATCCCGCGTTCGAACGTCGTTGTATCCTAAATGATATACCACGGTCCCTCCGAACGTCTGCCTCGAACGTAATTATTACGAGAATAGAGAAGACAAGAGTTAATAGTGATATAACTAGTCTAGACCGCGCACTTAGAGTATCAGCTTCTTATAGTTATCAAATTATATTTTCCGTGACCGCGTACGAGAAGCGTTTCTTTTCGCGAGAATTTTGCGTCAATTTAAAGATTTCGTAGAATTGTATGAAGCTGAAAATTTAGAAAGCAACTTCTTAGGCAGCATAGTAAATCGATTGCAAAGATAAGCTGTATATAAATATGCGGAAATTTTTCATAATAACTCCAACTCGGTGAATGAAAAAGTAGATATGTTTTTCATAGAATATAAAATTACCATAAAACCAATAATGCAACGCTATTGGATGACGAAATTTACGATCAATATTTTGGACGAAATTATTTTCCAGACATACATACGATTTTGTTCGATGCAGATTCAAACGTCGGAGACATTCATTCTTAGTTTTGCATCCGAACTGACGAGTTTCGGTTCAGATTTTCCTTGTTTATTTTATCGGCGATGATCGGGCGTGCGAAAGAATGTCACTAGTAGATGTCTCTTTTATTATAAAATAAATAATTTGTCGAAAGACCTTGAATCTTTCTTAAAGATTCAAAAATTGCATCGTTTTTTTTTACTTTAAACTGATTATGAAATGAATTTCATCATTCTCTATTTATATCGTAAATAAGATCACAATTAAAAAAAAACAATTGAAGTAAATCAGGTTTAATTCAAACTAGTGCAAAGAAGTCTAAAACACTCTTAGGCTTATGTGCATTGCACTTTTCGACTCGGCTTCTCCGCTTACTCGGCGCTTTCGATCCGGGGTAATCAGGACGGGCGCGTGCATCCCGCCAATTGTGTGTCGAAGAGCGATGACGAGACCTTTACTGGAATCCGGTCTTTTCCTCTCTCTTCACTTCTCGGCGTTGCACCGCGACCGAAGGAAGAGCACACAGCCTCTTCTCGAGAACGATTACGCCACCGTGCGCCTCTCTCGACCACACGGCCTGCGCCACGCCACAGAAGCGTCTCGGAAGCCGAGAGGATGCACAAAGTAGAAAGGACGGAGAGTGGAGAACGCCGATGACGACGGCAGCGAGGAGGTGGTCAGAGGGAGAGCGCGGGGAAGGGTGTTCCAACCGTCGTCCCGGATGTGCAGCATCATTACACGGCATTCTTTGGTGATGCAGGCGTCCGAGATATCTCTCTCTCTCTCCCTCTGTCCCTCCTCCCTCTCCCTCCCTCTTTTGTGCTCTCTTCTTTGCGCGACTCGTACAAACGCGAAAATGCACGTAAACGGGCTGCCCACGCAAAAAGGGCGAAGAGATGGGGACCATCTATCGAGGAAGAGATCACTACACATGAGATCAGACATGAAAGATGAAGGAGCGATAATCTAATTGCATTGGGGATCGGAAAATTTGGGGAAAGAAACGTAAATTTGAAAAGATGTAAAAGTTAAGGCCATTGCACGTAACAAAGTTTTAGTTATAATCGTAAGGCCGTAAAAAAATAGTCCAATCACAGTCGATTATTCTCCTTGAGCTCGAAGAATAATCGAATGTGATTGGTCTATTTTCTTACAGCCTTACGATTATGACTAAAACTTTGTTACGTGCAATGGCCTTAAAGAAGCTTATTTTTGTTGTTAATTTTGGAAACATTTGAAGCAATCGAATTGCTTGCCCTCATTTAATTCGGAGAGCTTGAAAGAAATATGTAATTTCTTAATTACGTTTCTTTAATATTTGATAGCTTTTAATACTAAAATTATTAATAATTGAAGTAAATTTCAAGAGGATCTCTTTCATGATGGGATCGAGGATCGAGTGTCTTTGCATTCTTCGGTCAGTTCAAATTACTGATGGCTCTTAAATAGAGATTAAACGTAAATAGTTTGTTGGCGAAAATATTCGATTACATGAATTTTACGACATAAATGCACGCGCTGAATATCTCCGACAAGTGTGTCGTATTACCGGAGAGTCGAATTACCGATTAAAGAGAAGACCCGCGTTCCAGGAAACTATCGCTTCCTCGATTATTATGCGAAAGACGGCATTAGTGTCACGTAGCGTTCACCCGTTTTCCGGGATACGGGGAGATACCTCGATCATCATTTATGCAAATTAACATTTTCCCGCTCCGGACATGGGCAAGATCGCGGTTGAGCGCCAAACGACGGTTTGCCAAAGCAAACAGCCGATGACTATATCCCGAAGACAGTATGTCACATTTCTTATTTATCGCAAATGAGATGCATGATACATTATACCGTTTTCGTACCGTTCTTCAATCCAAATTTAATTTATGCACATACTCTGTCAAAAAAAGTTTTGAAATATTTGCAATATTTTTATTAACACATACTTAATTACTTTTTCGTGACTATGGAGAAACAAAAGAACAATTTTTTCGCGTTTTTATTTACACATAAATAAATATCTAGCTTCTGTATTTGCAATAATCTTCTTCAATTTTTACATACGTTCCTATTATACAATTAAAGAAACGTTTTTATTCTCATGTTATATACGCGGGACATTTCATTGAGGATTGAATCGTAAAATAGCCAGTCCGCAAGTATCAAGGGATTGACTCATTGTCAGCAATTATCGATCGTCATTATATCGATGCCTTTCAGTCAAGACCCCTGAGATTTTCGAAAATGCTCTTCGAAGGCTTTTGGCTCGAATTGTCGGACAGGCCCGGGTCCTCGTGCGTAACATTGGACATGTTCGATCTCTCGAACGAATCGTCCTCGCGTCCCACAGGATTAGGAGGGAGAAGGTAAGTGGCCTAGGAGAGGTAGCGGAGTGTGTCGCTTCTGCGGGCGTGCATAACACGCACGTGCATACGCATGTACGCACACACCCACGCCTCCCTGGCGAACGGGCGACGAGGCGGCCGCGGCCGGTCGTAGTACACTCGACTCGAAATCAGTCGCTCGTACGAGCACTTACGTTGGAGGTGGAGACAGAGAAAGAGAGAGAGAAAGAGAGAATCGGATAGGAAGACGAGAACGAGCGGAACTGAGGTCCGCGGAGCTTCCTTTCCTTCGGACATGCCTGGCTGCCTCCTCGTCCTCTCCCACAGATTACGACCGACTTCTCCTCTCCCTCTGCGCGCACCTCACTCAACCTCAGACACACACTCTCTCTTTTCTTTTCTTCTTTAGCGTAACTTGGTTCTACATTCGTTTATCGTGATACCTAGCTAATTGCTTTGCCACTAAATCTAGAGACAAATTTAAGTTGTGAACAGGTAATTGAAATATAATTTTAAAAATCTGTTTTTTTTTGCATAGAATTAATAATTATTTCTATTAAAATCCTTTTAAACTTTCAAATTTATTCCATGCAAACTTTCTGGGGAATGAAAAAAATATTAGATTTTATCATATTTAAGGTAAGTCGGGGAAATATGCCACTTTGTTAATATTTCGTTTAATATTCGATAGAAGATAATGTTTTCTAGTCGTTAACGTGAGATTGTTCATACAATGAGTAACATGCAAGCTTCTCCAGTTTTATTGTGTTAAATCTGAAAAATCTGGGAAGATTTGTTAAAACCAAATGTCGAGTTTTTTTTTCTCAAAGTATTCCTATCAAAGCATAAAATAACAGTATTAAAATAACATTTATGTACGTCTTTCTTCATTAAAGTAACGATTTTTCTTTCCATATAGTGATACAATGCTTTTGACCGGTACTGT